ACCTTTTGCAGAAGGATCTCAAAATGCTCCAGGAACCTTCCTCAATATTGTTTAATGAGGGGGGAGTGTAACCCAAGGTGTGGAGGACCTGCAGGACTTAGTGCTCCAGCTGGGAAGTGATGCTGGAACTTGTTGCTGGGACTTGTTGCTGTACACACCAGCCCTGTTCTGATTCCTAGATTACAACTGGTGCCTCCAAAACTTTGTTCTTATCTGGGCAGACTTGACATAGTCTGTCACCTTCCTGCAGTCAGCAGATGATGTTTTAAGTGTTGGAGTCTTGTTTTGGTCTGGGACTGGATCTGGGAAGGTTGTTGGACCTTCCTGGCTGTTTGTGGTGGGACTGGATCTGGGAAGGTTGTTGGACCTTCCTGGCTGTTTGTGGTGGGCCTGGAGTCTGGGATGATCTAACTGGATGATTTTTATGGTCCCTTCCAGCCCAAACTGATTCTGTGGCTACTTGGAAATCCTGCCTGTCTGGAGGAACACGCAAATCTGAGTGGTTTTCAGTGGTTTGGGGCAAGGCTTATGAAGAGGGGCCACTTCAAGTGACCTTCACCCCCTCCCCTGTTCAGACCCACGATCAGGGACATGCTGTGCTGGGTTGAAAAGGTTGAGTGTGGTGGGAGAATCGTGTTAAATGTCTCAGCTGTGGATGAGCAGCTTGTGTTCTGCAATGTCTCTTCTGAACTGCACCAGGTGGCCAAGCCCAGCTCCTCCAGCCTGTCCCAGTGATGTGCTGACTCAGGATAACTGGAATCTTCTTTCCTGGTATTAAGACCTGAGCAGCAGGTGCTTGCTGAGGGGATACAGGCCCAGGCGTGTTGCCTGTGTGTCAGCAGAGGAGAAACTTCCTCCCCAAGGGCTGGAAGGCAGCAGGTTGTGCCACAGGGATGGTTTGGAGCCCACTTAAATGGGCTCTGTGGGAACCACCTTCTCCTGCTTTTCCCCAGTCTGAGGACTGCTTGGATCATTCCTGGAACTCTCAAAGCTTCCTGGGTGGCAGATGGATGAGGCCTCTCTTGGGACTGACAGATTAGTAAGTGCTGTGCCCAAAGGTGACCTTCTTTAGGAGGAGCCCTGAGCTCCTCACCTGACAGGGAGAAGTTTGTAGCAGCAGGAGCCCTTGTGCTCCTGGAGCAAAGAGGCACCAACAGGAATAGCTGATGGAACACAAAGGAAAAGTGCTTTGGGAAGAGACCAATCCAGAAAGGAGGGAACTGCTTGCCTTTCATCATCTTGAAGACTCTTCCAGGGACCTTTTTCTTGGGCAGTGCTGAAAGTACATGAATGAACCAAGGTACTCTTGTTCCTGGAATTCAGCTGTGAACTCACCTATCTGCTACAACAGTGGATGAAGGATGTTGTATTTCTAAGAGGAAAGAAGACATTACTTTCTGATGAAGTGAAAATTGGAGAGCAGTTCATGTTGTATAGATGTGAAGATGCCATCAGCATCTTCCAAAGCCTGGATCCTGCCTGCCTGCAAAATTGTTCCAAGTAGACCTCAGCCCCACTGCTTCCTTCTGCCAGTGGGTTTGGAGCTCTGGGTTTATGCTCAGAAAATGCACAGCCTGCAGAAGAAGAGGTAAGAGAGGGCTTGGACCCTCTGCAGTGTGTCCTCATTGACTGTTTTCCCTTTGCTGGCCTGTCAGGGTGGTTCAGGTTCAGCCTTTTAGTCATTTTTTTTATGGACAGTTGAGCTATGGCCTCTGGAAGCTTTTTTAAGTGGAGCTTTAGAGTGCTTGAGTTTGTTCATTGACCTTTAGTTGATTCCTCTGCCCTGGGCGTTGTTTCTGAGTGCTTTTAAGCCTGAAGTGATTGAACTGCTTGCAGAGGTGCTTCCCAGAGTAGCTCTGGCTGTGTGGGAAGGGCAGGTGGGTTTTACAAGTGGGCTGTGTTTCTATTAATAATTGCCATCCTTGCCTCTTGTCCCTTTACAAGGCAGCAAAGGATAGGCAGAGTGTGATGCAGGGAAAAAAGCTTCCTGTCCCTTCCCCTTGTTTGCTCAGGTCCCAATCCGAGCAGTGATGTTAATTAGATAAGTCAGATACTCTGCAGAGCAGCCTGTTCAAGGACAAACAGATTTTAATTAAGGGCTGTGTGCACTGGAAGGTCGTGGCACTGCCTTGTGCCTGAGCAGTTACTATGGGAACAGCAGGAAAGCACCCAGAGAGTGTGAGAGTGTGTGAGTGTATCAGAGTGTGGGTTCCAGGGCACAAAATTCACTTTGGGGTATGGCAGATACAGCCCGAGCGAGATGCCACCCTCGGAGTTTGTAATTGGGTTTTGTCACTGTGGGAATGGGAACCTTCACTTCAAGCTGTTAAAGTCACACCAGAAGTTTGATCCAAGCTATCCAGCAATGCCACGAATCAGGGAAATCGGTCCCCAGCTCAGTTTTTAGACTGTTTACTGTTGGTGAACTCAGTTTCTCAAAGAGAACCTGGATGTGGGGAAGAGTTTTGTTTGTGTTGAAATTTGAGCTGGAACCAGTTTGAAATTTGAGCTGGAACCAGTTTGAAATTTGAGCTGGAACCAGTTTGAAATTTGAGCTGGAACCAGTTTGAAATTTGAGCTGGAACCAGTTTGAAATTTGAGCTGGAACCAGTTTGAAATTTGAGCTGGAACCAGTTTGAAATTTGAGCTGGAACCAGTTTGAAATTTGAGCTGGAACCAGTTTGAAATTTGAGCTGGAACCAGTTTGAAATTTGAGCTGGAACCAGTTTGAAATTTGAGCTGGAACCAGTTTGAAATTTGCTTCTGTGTCCTCTGCTGTCTTCTAACTGGAATACAACATTAATTCCTGTGATAGCAGCTCCTTCCTGCATTTCAGGTCCTCTCAAGATTCATCTCCTCTAAAGCTGCCTAAAGTTAATCCTGCTGATTTGAGTACAAAGTGTCTCTTGTGTTTCTTCAGTCCCAAGTCTTCTTGCAGCTGTTTGGGATGTATCAGCAGGGACTTGTCAATACCTGATGATGGCAATAAATAACTCCAGTGATCTACAAGCCATGGATGTGCCTTGGGACTGATGGAAGTTTGCTGTGATCCCCAAGCTCATTCTTACTAATTTTTCCTGTGGTCTAGCAAGAGGATCAGTAGAGAGAAGTTAAACGTTTTTAGTATTAACAGTCTTAATATTTTTATTTCCTTTATCAAAGCTGAGGCAGGGGCTGATGCTGCACTGGCACCACAAGCAGCTTTCTTGTGTAAATAAAATAACCTCTCAAATGTGGGCCTTGCAGTGAGCTTGGAATCAAATATTTGTGTGGGAGTTTGAGGTGGGAGCTCAGAGGAGCTGTGTCACAGTCCCCTTCTCCCTCGTTACTCGGTGGTTCTGGAGGCAAATGAAGAGCGAGGCAGAAGAGGTCACAGGTGTGTTGGGAGAGGCTGAAACCAGCTCTTTTGCTAATTTTTCTTGTTTGGACAGTCCTTGTGGGCTGTCCTGCTCTGGAGGAGGCTGTGGGGCTGCCAAGCCTTGGGTGTTGGGAACCATGTGGAGCCGACTCAGCAGGAAGATTGCCAAGCAAATGAGGTTGAATTTCAGACAGTTTAGGCTCAGAGAGGAACTGGCTTTGTTTCCTGGCAGCTGAGAAAGCACCATTCTGCCTGTTTGTAGGAAAAATGTGTTGGATTTGGTATTTCTTACGTGCATCTCCCTGTGCCCCTTGCGGGAAGGGGAGGCAAGTGCTGGGTGTGGATTTGGGCAGAAGATGTGGGAGGGCAGACCTGGGGCAGGAGGAATTCTGCCCTGGAATTGGTGTTATGTGGTGGCAGGTTGTGCTTGGCCTCCACTTGGTGCCCAAGTTGCAGGGCTGGGCTTTGGCTCATGGGTGGCTTTGGGGAAGCATCTCCCAGAGCTCAGCAGGAAACTGCTCCAGGAGGTGCCAGCTGGGCAAGTTGTTCTCTTGGTCTGGGTACCATGGACTTCCTCCAAGTGCTCTTTGCCTGAGAACAGAACAGAAACCACCTTGGGCATTTGATATCTTTTGTCAGACTGTTGCTGTTCTGCCCCTGGACGAGGGAGCTGTGTTTTTTGTCAGCAGATGTCCACCTCTGACCCAGTGGTTTTGACTTTTAAAAATACATTGAGCAGAAATGAAAAGCCCAAAAGAGCAAAGAGAAGTGTCTGAACAGAGGAACAGGAACACGCTGTGTCCATCCTCCTCAGGAAGGGGCTGATTTTGCAGCAGGCAAGACATTTCCAGTGTAAGGTTGGGAGTCCCTTTGGAGAACTTTGGATGTGCTGGTCTGACAGGGCCAGCTGTAATTCAGAGAGGGCTTGGTGGAGCTCTCAAAGGAGCACATTTCCTTTCTCTTGGAGCAGTATCACTGCTCACAAAGTGCTCCCCTCTGACAGCATGGTGTGTGCCATTGCCAAAGGTGTCAGAAATCCATGGGAGGAAAGCTGGCCTGAAGGCTAATGTGTGGAAAAAGCGACAGCAGGAGAGTTAATGAAAAGCAGACACCGAGCACTGGGAGCTGCTCAGCCAAGAAATTCTGCACAGTCCAGAGTTTTCTCTGCTATCCAATAAAAATGTGCTCCAATTTGGCTTCCCTCTCTGTTACCCCTGTGAAGGTGGTGCAGGAAGGTGGTGACTACCTGGGTATGTGGCTTCTGTGCCCTGCACCACCTGGAAGGAAAACAGATGCCATGTTACTTTTGTGATGATTCCATGTCTTGGAGCCAAGAGCCCTGAGTTTCTAATCCAGATTCCTGCTGGGAACCAGGGGACTCCCTTTGGCCTCTTGCAGGTGTGGTCTGTAAATCACAGAATCACAGAATGGTTTGGTTGAAAAGGACCTTAAAGACTGTCTTGTTCCAACTCCCTACCATGGGCAGGGGCACCTTCCCCGAGAAGGTGGAATCTGGATGCTCCTGTGTCTCGTGCCCAGGAGGAAATTAGTGTACAATGAAACAAACTTTGTAACCATCACAGGGCAGTGTGGGAGCACTGCAGTTGAACCCCTCCAGGAATGATGTCCTTGCTTTTTGCAGAATGGAGGCATCCTGCCTGGAACTGGCCCTGGAAGGAGAGCGCTTGTGCAAGGCTGGGGACTTCAAAGCTGGGGCAGCCTTCTTCGAAGCAGCAGTGCAGGTGGGGACTGAGGACCTGAAGACTCTCAGTGCCATCTACAGCCAGCTGGGCAATGCCTATTTCTACCTAAAGGAGTATTCCAAGGCCCTGGAGTACCATAAGCATGACCTGACCCTGGCCAGGTAAGTGAGTGAGCCCTGCCTTCATCCTCCCCAGACACAACCTTGAGCAAGGGCAACTTCTGTGGGGTCTGAACCCAGCAGCTTGAGGGGATCTGCCCAGAAATACACCCCCAAAAGTAGCCCTGAGGGTGATTGTCCTGTGGAGAACTCAGGGGGCAACGAGAACGGGTCAGCTCCCTTCAGAGCAGGGAGGTGAAGGAAGGGATGTGAGGAGAGTGATTGGAGCAAGAGCAGGGCAGTGTCCAGTTCTCCTGTCCCTAGGTGAGCACACCTGAAATCATTAGAGCAGCTCACCTGAGGCAGCAAAACAGGGAACAAGGATCTGTCTTCAGAACTGTGGGACCTGTGTGAAGTCTCCAGCCGGGGGTGTGTGCTGGGAGCTCCTGGATGTGGTGCAGGTACCACACAGCACTTGCTGCAGCTTGAATTCTGCTTCCAGCAGCTGGGGAATAAAAGTCTGTGAGCTCTTTAACACCCTCACCTTGTAGGACCATTGGGGACCGCATTGGAGAGGCCAAGGCAAGTGGCAACCTTGGGAATACCCTGAAAATACTCGGGCAGTTTGATGAAGCTGTGGTTTGTTGCCAGAGACACTTGGACATTTCTCAGGAGCAGGGAGACAAGGTAATTGGTTCGTGGCATCCAAGAGGAAATATTTCCTGGCTTTAAAAATAATCTGTCTGCTGGTCAGTAAATGTGATCTGGTGGAGGTGGGCTTTGGAAGGAGGTGGAGGGTAAAGCTCTCCCTCCTGGCTGCCAGCACTGCTCCCGTGGTGCTGGCAGTAACAGCTGCCAGGAGGGTGAAGATGGGGAGAGGAAAATGTGGGCTCCTGCTTTTGACCATCCCCGCCCAGCAGTGGAAAGGTCCATACTGGGATGTGAAGTGTCATATCTGTTCTTCCTCCTTTTAGGTAGGTGAAGCCAGAGCACTCTATAATATAGGAAATGTTTACCATGCCAAGGGAAAGCACTTATCGTGGAACATGGCCCAGGATCCAGGCTCCCTCCCTCAGGAAGTCAAGGAGACACTGCAGAAAGCTTCAGAATATTATGAGTAAGTATCCAAGCTTGGCCAGGCCTTTCTCCTGCAGGGAACAGGGCCCCTGAATGAGAATTTGCATGTTGAAATGAATTAGAAATATTCCCCTGAGATGCCAAGTTATGATGGCAAATTAATCTCAAGGAAGGTGTGGAAAGGACTACAAGCCTTCTATAAAATTTGAGCTAAAATTCATCCTGGCATTGCCTTGGCAAAACTCACTGTGGTTTGAATTATGATCGTGCGCTGAAGTTCAATAGTCTGTGTTGGGAAGCTGAACTGTTGGCTCCTGTAGCCCCTGCTGCTCTCTGCTGGCCTCCAGGAGGATGGATCCTTGTGTGTCTCCATCGCTGGGGCCACTCTGTCACCCAGGGGAAGAGTCCCTTTGAAGTCCTGCTTGTCCTTCTCAAGGGTCTGTACTTTATCTTGCTTGCAACATCCTTCCTTTTCCTAAATAATTTCAAAGATCCCTGTGATGTCCCACACGGGAAGGTTGTCACCAGGCTTTTGGGTTTATGTGTTTCTCCTTGTACTTCAGAGTTTTGCTTTTATGAGGCAGGTTTTTTAAGTAGGCTTTTTAAAAGAAGAGAGACAGGAGCTTACATCCGTCTCCTCATGTCTGAGGGTGTGATGGTGCCTATAAATAGCTCACCATTCTTCTTCCAAGCAGTGGTGCATGTAGCATAGCCAGTGGGTAAATCTGTGCCAGCTGTGAGTGCTCTGCCCTTCTCTGTGTGCTGTATGTGTAAAAGGGGAAAAACAAGGTAAAGAAGTGCTGGGAAGATCCCAAAGAAGAGCTCTGCCATGGGACTGTGGATTCTGCCCCTCTCCCCAGGTGTGTCCCTGTCCTGCTCCAGGTGATCTCCTTCCTCCTGTGCCCCTGGTTCTGCCCTGTGCAGTGGAGTGGCCATTTCTGGTTGAATGTGGGATCTCTCAGTGTGAGCACTGGGGTGCTTCCTGCACCAGCCACCAATTGCCTGAGGAGAGGGAGCAGCAGGGACTTGCACCCCTGGCTTGGCACGAGCTCCCAGAGCTGCCCTGGCACGGGTCACCAGACTCTCCTGCACCCAGCATAAGTGGTTGGGAGGGAATTACCTTCTCCAGGTTGGCTCTCCTTTCTTTCTGTGCAAGTTTCCTTGCTGTGTCCCCTGCAGAGCACTGGCTGTGTCTCACTGCACCTTCTGCTCTGGTGTCTTTCAGGAGAAACCTGTCCCTGGTGAAGGAGCTGGGGGACAGAGCTGCTCAGGGCCGTGCTTACGGCAACCTTGGCAACACCCAGTACTTACTTGGCAACTTCAGTGAAGCCATAGCCTTCCACAAGGAGGTAGGAGCCCTTTGCCTGCCTTCCTGGCCTCAGGGGCTGTGAGAGCAGCTTTCCTTCTCACCACATCCCACGGAGCACAGGGAGATGTTTCCTTCCAGCAGTTTTTCTCCCTCCTGTGTGAACCCAGTTGTAGTAACTCACACTGAGCAAATCTTACTCCAGTCCCCATCAGCACCTAATGAGCAGCTTGAGGGAAGGGTGCTGTTGGCTTGGAAACCGAAGGAGGTATCCAAGGGCAAATTGCAGCTGGGTCTAGCAAGGTTTTTTTCTGCTCTTAATTTGTCTCAGTCTAGATTTTAATAAATGCAAGCCATGAATTTAATTAAGCTGCTGAAAGAGCTGTTGATCAAGAATAAATGCTGCTTGTAGAACATAATAACTTTCTGTAAAGCTTTACAGGGGGGTGAGGTGACACAGTCCCTGCCCCAATTCAAATGCAATTTAACTTCTGTTTCAGTGAGTACCAGTTTCCTTGCAGTGGAACGTGCTCAGCCCCCTGGAAACTCAGCCCTGTCGCAGCAACTCTGGGTTTTTAAGTTCTGGGGGACAGCATGGGGATGGAACTTTTCCAAAGGCCTTTCCTGATGCTGAATTGCAAAAAACATCTCCGCAGAGTACTACAAGTAAGTGCTGGGGAGATCTTGACCTGTTCCTCTTCCCATGGGAATCTTGACCTGTTGCAGCGAATTCCTAAGCTCAGGGGGGCTGTGACAAGGAATCTGGAGGCCAGTGGCATGTGTGGGGGGTGATACATCCACCTCACAGGCATCAACTGCAGTGCAGCATGTGCCAAAGGGGGGACCTGCCAGCCAAAGGGGGAACTTCTCTGTCACCTTGCAGTGGCCAGGTCTCTTCATTCCCACCTCTGCCCTGCAGGAAAACGCTCCAGCTCTCCAGACAACTCAAAGACCAAGCAGTAGAAGCCCAGGCTTGCTACAGCCTTGGAAACACGTGCACGCTGCTTCAGGACTACGAAAGAGCAATCGAGTACCACCTAAAGCACCTGGTGATAGCACAGGAGCTGGGAGACAGGTAAAGAAGTGCCTCAGAGAAGGGGGTCTCTGCTGGGTGCAGAGCACTGACCCTTCCCTGACCCACTGTTCTCTGTTTCTGGGGTTAAATGGTGATGTGTGTTCTTGAAAGTCATTAGAAATCTCTCAAAACCCAAGCCTTGGTCCGGTCATCTGTCAGAAACGTGACATGATTGACACCTTTATCATGTCATTCAACCATGGAGGTTGTGCCCTTAATGCTGTGTCTGTGTGGGCTGAAATCTGTAACAAGAGGAACTTCACGAAAATGCATCGTGTTCAGTGCTTTGCCACGTGGCTACTGCTGTGTTGTTACCCCAGAATGGCCCCTCTAAAGCTCCCTCAAGTTCACAAATACTGTGTCTTCCTTAGAAACTGTGTGCTTAGGGCATAAATATGTACCACCTTGTCCTGTTGCTCTGGGTTAATGCTGGAAACTTCCACATAGAAACAAATGCTGTTCCACAGAGGATGTGGAGATGATGTATTTTGTTTCTCGTCCTCATCCCTCCTTATTTGGAGGCTTGGCCTCTTAGTTTAAAAAAAAAATAAATTAATACCATCTTTTATGAGGGGTTGGTTCCTTCTTGCTGGATACTCTGTGATCCTGAGCCCTTCTTGCAGCTGAAGTGACTTTCAGCATTTTGCTGAATTCTCTTGGAAGCTGGGTGTCCTCCACTAGATGGAGCAGGGACATCAGGATGGGAGAGCTGTGCCACCACCCGGGCAGTATCTGCTCAGAGAAGGTACAATCCCACCCGAGGGTGAATCATGCTGTGTGGGGGTGCAGGCCTGTGGGCTCCTGCGTTTCTGGGAACACACCCTATGAGCAGAAGGTATTGAACAGGGTGACAAGAAAAACGTTGAAATGCTGATCAACCCGCCCAAACCTCTGAAAAGGGAGTTGCAGTCATGCTGAACCTCCCCCCGCGCCCCCAGGTGCTTTTTTTATCCCTTCTCCCCCCACATCTGCTCGGTTGCAGAGCTGAGCAGGCTCTGGGGAGCAGGAGGCTCTGCCTGCTCCTGCAAACAGCTGCTGGACCTCCAGGGACACTGAGGTGTCCCCAGGCTTGGGGGTCAGGGCTGCACAGGGCAGGTTCCACACCCACCTGCTTTCCTGGGCTTCTGGAAACGAGAAGCAGTGCCCTGGAGACCTTGTGGAAACCAGTCAATGTTCACTTGGCTTTGGGGCAGTTCCAGTTGTGCCCCCTGGGCAATGCAGGGCTGGGACTCAGCTGAGGCTGTTGCCTGCCTGCAGCATTCTCTCCTTGCCATCTTCTTGCTAGTTTAGCTCTGGGCTCTTGTAGAACCAAAGGGCTGGATGTTGTGTTCCCTCTTGATGTGTTGTGTGTCTCTGGAGAGGAGCCCTTGTCGTGTGAGCTGGAAGCTGGGCAGGAGCTCTGGCTTCCCCTCTTGGGCTGGTGCTCACCAGTGAAGCCAAACCATCCTGGGCCCTTGCTACACTGCTTAGTTTTGTGTCACTGTGGGCATAGACCTGCTTCTGAGGCTGCTGTTCATCCCCAGCTCTTGCTGACCTCAGGAAGAGGAGTTTCAGATGTACAACACACTTCATCTTCCTTTGTAGAACCATTGTGTAGATGAAAGCATAGCAAGAAGCCTGGCTGTCAGTGCTCTCAGGAAGGCCCTGAAAGGGCTGCTGAGCTGCTGGGCTTTGCCCAGAGTTTCTGTGGTTGACAGTTTCCTGTTCTGCAGGGTGGGAGAAGGAAGAGCCTGCTGGAGTCTGGGAAATGCCTACGTCTCACTGGGGAGCCACGAACAGGCTTTGCACTTTGCAAGGAAACATCTTGAAATATCCCAAGAGGTAAGAGATGCTGGTTTAGATCAGAGGGAACCAGTCCCCTGTGGTGAGAGGAAGGTTATTTTATGCCACTAAGTTCTATTAATGTAGTTCTTCTCCTACTGTGACTGCTCTGGAAAACCCTTCTCTATGTGCTGTTCCAGTGGTGTCCTTAGGAACTGCAGAGCTTGGCAGGAAAACATTCTTTTGATGGGAGGCTCCCAGTCTTCCCCTTAATTGCAGCAAATGTCTTAGCTGTGCTTTGCTCTTAACCAATATTCCTGGGTGAGAAAGGACTTGGGCACCAGTTGTCTGCTCTGCTGGCCAAGGTGTTGTGCACTCAGGTGAAGGAACTCTGATACCTCTCGGTGTCCCATCTGTTAGTAAGTCCCCCCTTTCCTGACATTCTGACTGAGATGAACCAGATGTGTTCTGGCTGCATTTGCTGGTCAGTTAAACACGTGGAGAACACAAGGGCAGCTCCTGAGTGCTCTGTGTTCTACACTGCAGCAGAATGTGTGCCTGGGGAGCTGTTTCCTCTCAGTGGAGCTGGCAGGGAGTCCCAGCTGCCAGGTGGGAACTCCAGCAGTATCCTAATGCAATCCATGCTGTCACTGGGCACACACAGCCTGCAGCCACCCTGTGCCACTGCCACACCATTTGGGGTGTCGTGAGTGCAGCTCCCGTGGCTTTCACAGACCTGCTCACCCAGCTCGCTGCAGCTTTCCTGCTGCAAGAACACACCATGGTTTTGGGTGGCTCAGAAGTGCAGAAGGCAAGAATTCCATTGTTTGCTCCTTCCAGGGTGCTCAGGAAATTGGCCATGGCCTCTTTAGTCTTCCCCAGATGAAGAAATTGCCCTCTTGAAGCACTAATTGAAATCACCATATGTGAGTGAGCTGGGTGTTCTCCTGCCTGTCTGTTAGGTTGGCGAAATCTCAGAGTAGGGCTGACACAGCAGCCTAATTACAGATTTAATTATACTTATCAGACACACAGAAGAAATACTGTTCTTTTGGCCCTGTACATTTTAGGACAAATTAACTTTTCCAGCTCTGTTCTGCTCGGGCTGTGGCAGTGTGGGCTGAGCTCTGGAGCTGGACTCTGCTCGTCAGAGTGAAATGCAGCTGAGGAACAATGGGAGGACAAGCAGTGCTGGTCCTGGGGCCTTTGGGGCTTGAGGGGAATCCCACCAGAGTGGGTTCTCATTCCAGGGTGCTGGCTGTGACCACAGGCCATATCAGGAGTAGGTTCCTCATGGCAGGTGGCTGATAAAGTCCCCTCCATCATTAATTACAGAGCAGAGTCTGTCCCTTTGAGGAGAACTTGCATTGGCTTCTAGCAGTGGTTCTGTTAAAGCTGATGTTTTAGCTTAGTCTTGGAAATGAGTGAGCTGCTTGTGCTGGTGCAACCAACAGTTTGCTCAGGAGAAACCTTGTGAAATTAAACCTTTTCACACCAATGTTTGTAACTCACTTCTCCATCACTTTTTCCCTTTCCCCTCCACCAAAAATCTAACAGTGACATTTGAATCCAAATGAAATCTGCTCAGGGTAACCACACTGGAAGCTGCTGCAGGATGGTTGGGGTTACTGACAAAATTCCTCTGAAACAGCTGGAATAAAGGATGTGTACTTAAAAACCTTGGAAGCTGCCCCAGCTCTCAGACACTGCTCTGGGATACCTTTGCCATCTCTAAGTGTGGCAGGAGGCTCCTGGGAAGCTGAGGGCAGAAAACAGGGCTCTGCTGTGGTGTGTTGTGTGGTAGGTCATGCTCAGGATCATTGTCCTGCCAGTCTGTTCCTGGGTTGTTAATAGGGCTTTGGAGATGATCTGGAATGAGTGGAAGTCAGGGAAGCATTTAATAGAGCATCAAGGACTGTAAGACCTAACCAGGACATAGTAATTTCTCTGGAGATGATGTCAACAGCAAATCTCCTGTAATTGGCAGGGGGATTTATGGCTGATGATAAGCCCTTTGATCTGCCTCCCTTTACTGGCGCTTGGGGCTTTGTCATAAATAATGTGGGGATTTATGATTTTGTTCCAGGACGGCTCCCGCTGCCGTCTATCGCACAGGGCCACAAAAGAGCTGTTGCCAGGCATTTAACAGGGAATTGGGCCTCTCCAGGGGAACAGCCAAGGTCTTCCTCTGTCACAGAGGCTGCTCTTGCTCTGAAGATTAGAGGCTGTTTCTGGGTGACCTCTCTGTGTTCTCTGGTGATGTGCAGCACCAGAATTTTGTCGTTCAGTTGAACTTTGAGGAGGACCCAGTGTCATGTCCCTGTTTAAGCAGCAGGAGCAGTTGGACAGAGCTCTTGTACCGTCAGCTTCCTTGGCCTCAGGCCAGCGAGAGGTGGAAATTTGGGTAAAATGTGGACTCCAAAAGACTTTTGGAGTCTTGTGTGGGTAGATCACTAGGAACAACTCAAAGTTGTATGGATCTGAGCCAGGAGAGAAAGGCTTTCGGAGCATCTGAGCCCTGGTGTGACACTGCTCACGTGGCTGATGGCAGTGCAGTGTCTGGTGCTCAGTAACCATGGAAATACTTGAGGAAGGGGGCTGAGATTTCCAGGGCTCTCTGCCAAGCCATGTGTGGCTGCAGGACGGACCAGACATGCAGATTTAACTGTGGCTCAGTTCTGTGGCAGTGGGCGAGCTGAGCCCTCTCTGAACTCCACAGAACTGTGTTTTAGGGTGCAGCACAGCACACACAGATCCCGTCCCAAACTATCACCGAGGAATAGTTTCAGAGAGCTCCTTTGGGGCTGAAAGCTGGGCTGTGTGGTCTCTCAGGGTGTCTCCAAGCTCTCTTCTGGCTGGTTCTGCGTCTGCTTTGAGATGGGACTGGCAAACCCCTTGCTGGGGGCTGTTTGCTTGGAGCACATGCCTTTAACCAGCTGCCCTGTTGGTGTTCCCACTGCAGATCGGGGACCGGAGCGGGGAGCTGACGGCACAGGTGAACATGGCCCAGCTCAGGTCAGCCCTTGGCCTGGGCCCTGGGGATGAGGACATGGGTGCAGCTCGTCACTATGCTGGCTATGAAGCACAAGGTGAGTTCCTGGGCTTTTGGTGGCACTGGAAGGTCTCTGGAAGGACGTGGTGTGGGGAGGGGGAGGCGTTTGCGAGCGGGCAGGAAATACAAGTGCCTTCAAAGGAAAGGAGGTTGTGATGTGTTTGCTCTGTGCTTTCCATAACCTGCAAGGGCAGGGAAGGATCACCCCAAAAAAAGGGCACAGAATGAGTTAATGGAATTAATCTGCATTGGGAATAAAATTCCCCGTGCCATGCAACAAATCGGCTTTTGTATCTTTTAAAGCTCTGCAGGGCCCTTTTAACTGATTTGACTGATACCACAGGCTTTCAGAAGTGACTGGCAGGGATTTTTGGCTGCTCTTGTTCTCATTAGCACCCAAGAAGAAGCCTAGGGTAGGGGCTGAAGGCAGGTTGGGAGCATCAGTCCACTGGGTGACATCTCACCCTTGGGACACCTGCAGTGATGCTGAACCTGGAGACAAGAAGTGGCAAGACATGGTCACAGCAGACAGAATGACTTTGCTCAGGGCACTGGACACTGGGTCATTCTGCCTCTGCTGCTGTGTGTCCCCAGCTCAAGGAATGTCCTGGAAGTGCCCACTGCAGACCCTGGTGGGTGCCTGGCACGGGCACTGCCAGCTGGCCGCTCTGTGCTGCGGGCAGACTTGTTAATTCACACAGCCCCAGCCGCGTCCCGGGAGGTGCCGGCTGATTAAATATGACCTTGTTAGCACAGACACGCTTTCCCAGGTGGACTGTTCCCTTTCCTGGTGGTAGAGCTGACGTGGAGAGGGTGATGCTTGGGCTGAGGCTCTGGGAGGGAAAGGCTGGCTGTGCGTGTTTGCTCTCGGTATCGATCTCAAAGGTGTCATTGGCCACGTCAGTGCTGAGGCTTTTTCTGGGAAATCAAACATGGTGAGGGAGCCAGTGTGTGTCCTGCCATGCCCCATTGGAGCTGAGCTGTTGCCTCAAAGGCCGTGGGGGCCACAACAGCTGCCCCAGCCTCCTTTTGCACGTCAGCTCATCCTCGTAACTCCTGGAAAACGCATTAGCCGGAGCCTTCCTCTCATTCCTGACATCTCCTTAGGGGCTTCCCTTTTGGCAAGTTACTTGGTTGTGAAAGGGGAACAGGAAATGAACCTTGATGTTGGTCAGAGGGAAGGGTGGTGGAATTGGGCTGATGGGGTGCCAGGTCCCTTGGGCTGGGAGCAGGAGGGTGCAGGAGGAGGGCAGTGCCAAGGGCATGAGAGCACTGGGTGCTGAGACGTTTTTGGATGGGGGTGTGAGCCTGTTGTGTGGAAGAGCTGTGGTGGAAAGGGTCCAGCCAGGTTCATCTGGGAGAGGGGCTCTGCAGCTCTGACCATATTGCACAGCCAGGAGTGCACAGCCTTTTCTTAGGTGGAAAAAATAGAGCAGGGGGGTCTCTGCTCTCTTAACATGCTCCCCGTTGACTCTGGGCTTGGATGTCACCTGCTGTGGACTGGCCTGGTGTCCCAGTGTGAGGACGGTGCACTGTGGGGGTCAGGGAGGGTCTTGGTCTGAGCAGAGCCCTTCATGGGGAGAGCTGAGCCTGGTGTGTGGCAGTGTCCCCCATGGGGGTGGTGACAAAGCCCCACCACCCACATCTCCCAGCAGGAGACTTGGAGTGGGTGGCACTGAAGGGTTGGGGTTTTTCCTGGTCAGTCACGGGCTTAACCCCAAGGGTGAGGCAGGGCAAGGCAGAGCCAGCATGGAGCTCCAGTGATCCAGATGTGCTGTGCTAACATCTGGAGCCAACAGTGATGTTCCTCAGGCTGAGGCAGAGCCGTGCAGGTCTGTGTGAGATCGCTGGAGGATGGGAAAGGGGCTGAGCAGCTGCAGGCAGAGTTCTGGAGGTTGCAGTGACCTCGTTAATCTGTGGTGCTGCTGCTCACATTCCCAAGGCTGAGGCCGTTTGTCAACAGAAGGACAAAGTGTTCTTGGGAGGAAAAGCAGTAGATGACTGGGGCTTGCAGGGGAGAGAGAGGGAGGGGTCTGGCAGAGCAGGGCTTCCCCTCGCTGGGTCCTGGGAACCTGCTGGGGAGGTGAAAGCCAGCTGCCTCTGTGTTTGTGGGCTGGGGCTGTGCAGCATCATCCTGCCACAGGAAGGGAGTGTGGGAACACCTCACTAAGCACTGGGTGCTTTTACAGACACATCTCAGGTGGGAAAAGTGCTATCCCTGTCACATGGAGGTTTGGAGAGAGGATGGGTGTGCAGCACAGCCTGTGGAGAGGAGCCTGGCTCTCTTAGCTTTTATCCTGGCTTCAGCTCTCTTACTCTGAAATCCTGTGGAGGATGAGAGGCCACCAGTGTGTCTGAGCCCTTAAGAGAGGGGAGAGGCATTTAATGCCTGCCAGAAATTTTGGTACCCTCCTGTGCACCTATTAAATGATTAGAAAAGCGTAATTATTTATATTATTAATAGCAGCAATTTACAGCAAGAGGAACATCTGGTTCTGTAATAGGAAGCAGGTGAGAGAGTCGAGATTCAAGTTGACTTCTGAACCAGCCGTGCCTTTTGATGTCGACAAATCTCATGGTCAGGAGAGCTTTGCATTTTTTTTTCCCCTTCAGGTTCTTTTCCCTGCTTAAGGTTATAAAAGAGCTGCATATTCCTAAGGATGCTAAAATCATCTGATAAGGCAGGCCTGTTATAAAACACATTAATTTCATCAAGCAGGTAGAGTAAAGGCTGAGAAACCCTGAGCCAGACTCTCACTGTGATGTCCTTCCCAGGTTACATCTGCTTCTGGGTCTTGGGCATTGCCCTTCACGGGGGGCCTGGGGGTGGAAGGAGTGTCTGATGTTTTCTTCTGTTGTTTTGGCTCCTCTTGCTGAACACTTTGTGATTTTAATTAATATTCTGAGCGTATTTGGACGTCAGAAGACAAAGCTGGAGGCCAGGGGAGTGGGGCAGTGCTGCAGAAGTCTTGTGAAAGCAACGACCTTGTTGAGAAACGCAAACACAGAGAGCTTAAAGCAACAAACTGAAGGAAGCTGGAGAGTAGCTGAACCATGAAGTAAATAAACAGAGGTTGGGTTTGTTTCTGCAAACAACCAAAAATGTGTCCCTGAAAAATGATCTTGTCCTCTTTCACACACTGCAAGTTAAGAATTGAGTAGTGGTTGGCTTTGTCTTCGGGAGAGAAGTGAAGGGGCCTTGCTGTGGCCCCAGGGAGTTGTTTTGTAGGGTGAAGGCAACCAGGACAAGAAGCAGTGCTGGGAGATGTCCTGGGGTGCAAACAGCCAGCCCTATTCCCAGGATAGCCCTGATGTCCCCTTCCCTGGCTGCCCTTTTCCAGGTCACTTGGGCTGGGCTGAGGCTGTAGCTCAGCTGTGCCCAGGGCTCTGTGGGTCGCAGGGGATTGGGAGCACTGAGCTGAGCCCTTCCCAGTCCCAGCCTGGAGGCAGTGCCTGCTGGGCTGGCCCTGGGTGGGTAGATCTCTGGTGCACGTTGCAGCATTGCCCTCTTCACTTCCCTGGTGCCAGCTCTCCCCTTTGGGTGCTGGCACCAGCCAGGACATCCTGCCAGCTGGGAGAGGAGCACAGGACCAGGGATCACCCACCCCCCCAGGGCTGCAGGCGCTGGCAGAAGGCGGGGAGGAGCCCAGGCCAGCCCTGGTGCCCCTCCAAAGTGAAAACTCACTCTGGGCTGCTTTTCTTTTGCTTTCAGCAGCACGTCAGCCTCAGCCATCATCTCTGCTGGCAGCAGCAGTGTCAGGAGACACCAAGCAACACCTCTCCTGGCAGCTGGGTGTAGGTGGGGAGGGATGCAGGTGTTCCAGGAGGCGTTGGCATGTGGATGCTTTCAGAGCGCTGTGAGCTGGCTCCTGGCACGGTTTCTGTGCTGTTTGCAGTACACAGATACCTCTGCCCCGCCGTGCCCAAGAGCTCTGAGGGCAGGGAAGGACTCGGCCTGACTTCCCCCACCCTCTGCTCATCTTCTGCACGAGGCTGCTCCGCTGGTTCAGTGCTCAGGAGGCTCCGTGCTGGGTGCTCTCACCCCTGCACGAGGCAGATGTGTTTGTGTGCAGTGGCAGCTGAGCCCAGGTGGGCATGAAATCCCACTCCTTCCTCAGCAGTGATCAGCTCTGTGGGGCTTTGACTGTGGGGCTTTGCATCCTCGATGCAGTTTTGGGTTTGCCTCTTCACAGGAATCTTTGAACCCTCGGATCAATCAGACAGGGGGAGAAGAAAACCTGCTTTTATGTTTTCCAGCCTGTTTGGTTTTGTTTGTTTGCTTGCTTTAAATATCTTTGAAGTACCTAAGAGGTGTTTAGGGATGAAACAGGCAGGATTGACCATCCCTCTGCTGACGCAGGCAGGGAGGTGGTGCTGCTGTACCCCCTGCCAGCCCGTGCCTGGGGCAGGGATGCTGCCCAGGAACAGGGATGTTCCTCCTCCGTGGTTTGCTCAACCCTCCTGCGGAAAACTGACTGTCAGCTGAGAGATGTGGCTGTCTGAGACCAGCATCTTGCTGACAGTGGGACAGCCCTGCTCCCTCAGGCTGTGATTTCACTGTCTAGGAAGCATTTGGCTTCCTCTGAGCAGAGGAGTGCGGGGTCACATCCCTAACGGCTTCAGCATGGAACCTGCCCCGTCCCTACCAGTCACACCGAGTGAGGGTAGCAATTCAAATTGCTTAAAATTAAATATCCTCAACTCCATTTGATTTTTTTTTTTTTTCCCAGGAGCTGATGGGCTGCAGCTCAGCCTTTTTTCATTGTGAAAATGAAAGCCCGAGGCCGTGCTGGTTAATTGGACCTGCTTGTGCGGGGGTTTGATGGATGAGGGTGTTGACAAGCTTTTGGCCAAGTGGAAGGCAAGGATGCAAGGTGGTCTGGTTGCTTTATTGGGCTCTGACAGAGGAGAGCTGGAGCAAATGTTCCCATGTGCCTGCAGGAAGGGGTCCTAAAGACCTGTGTCTGTGGTGGGAATGCTGCTTCCATGGAGTGAAAATTTAGGACTTCTGAAGGATGCCTCTTCATTATCTTCATAATGAGTTTTTTCTAAGTCTGAGTAACCTCTGCTGTTACAGCTGTTAAATCATTCCAGCAGCGCTGATGGGGGGGGGATGAACCTCTGAGTCATTTGGATTTAAACTGAGTAATTTAGCACTCACTAAAGCCCCAGTATTGGCTTTAGGAAGTTCCAAAATATCCTTTTCAAAGTGTTAAGAAATATTTAGTGTTCTTCCCTCATCTTGCTGTGTATATGAGCCTCCTTCCCTGCATCCATGTAAAATACAGGAGTTCTTGGCTCACAGCAGAGGAAATGCTCCAGGACCTGAGGAGAAGATATTATGCCAGTGAAACTCAGGTGTTTGTTTGATCTTGATGCCAGGGGACACAGCAAGTGCTGGAAGGGAGGATGAGGAAGAGGCCAGTTCTTGAAGCCTGTGGCAGAGAAGGCACAACGTGGCTTTTGGCAAAGCCATCCACTAAATCAAGGGATCTCTTGTTGTGGGGAGAGAGAACTTCTTCGAAATTATCAGTTCTGGGAAGGCTGAAGTTCCCTTTGGCTGCTGTTCCAGACTCCAGCAGCCATCCCAGCTCTGGTGTGTGCTGTCTGGTTCCCAAAGGCACTTTCCACAGACAATTTCCTTTGGTAGCTGGTGTGTAGGAAATGCCAATGGTTATGATGCTCTTTTGTCCAGCAGGACAGTCTTGCCATCAGGAACAAGATGCCTCTGCTTGATATATTTTTTTTTATGCAGCACAGAGGAAGAAAGGAGAAGAAGAAAGTTCTTTTTCTCGCCCAGTTAGAATTACTTTTTCTCTCTTAAAGGTTTTTGTATGGATGACCATGGTCTGCTTTGGGACTTCACTGAGCAAGGCAAGGCCAGACCCTCAAAATGAATCACAGTGATCTCTTGACTTACCTCAGGAACCATCCTCCCTCACCTGGCAGGGAAAAGCACTCAGACAACTGACCTTTGCTTACAGAAACGCCTGGCAGCTTGTAGGGACAGAGCTCACGGATTCCCAGCCCAGCGTGGGCAGTCGTGTTCCAATAGCTGGGAAGTGCCTGGCTGGTGGGAGCTGCTGACTGATCCCAACAGCATCCAGGAGGAGGGATCAAGTGCAGTCCCCCTCTTTTTAGAGGATTTTGCTGGGGGTGTTTGGCTGCAAAGCTGACATGTGGTTGCTGTTTCTCTGCCCTCCCTGAGTCAGTCTGGAGGACACGGCATGTCCTTGGGCCTGTCTGGCTGCTGGAGATGTTGCCCCTGTTAATTACTGTCACTCTCTTGCTCAAACTCGGTTTCTTTTTGATCTCTGCTTGTTCCACACAAGCTGATAATGGAAGATGGGAGGTCATGAGGCTCTGCTGAATCCTGGCAGAGAAAATCCTGCCCTCAGAAGAGAGCCAGGTGCTCCTGCCAAGTCTATCACACTGCTCCTGAGTTAGCCCTGGGGTTACATGTCTCCTCCCAGCCTGCTCCACCCACTTCATCTTATCTCCCAAAAGATCCTCCTGTCCCCACAGCTGTTAATCAATTAAGCAGACGATTGCCTGGGGTTAGAGGAGGCTGTGCCTGACATGGCTCAAGCTTCCCACAAGCTCCCAGGCTCGGATTTGACGGTGAGGTGTTGCATAATTGGGTGCTCTGTGTTTTCTGCAAATACACCCCAAAATACTTCATTCTTTGACCCAAATTACCAATGCTTTGTTTGCAAATAGGCCTTATTCCTTCTGTGGTTAGAGATAAGCCAATGCCCACTGCATGTTTGGAAAACTGAAATCAAAGACATGCCCAACATCACAGGACTTAGTGTTGTAAGGCTACAAGTAACATCACCTTGTACTCAAAGATTGCAGCTTTCCTGCACTGGGTTTGCTTCCACTGGGGGAAATAAATAGGAAATAAGAAAAAATAAATATCTCCCTTGTGCCATCTTTATCCCCAAGGAGGATTCTTGCTCCAAGCCTTATCTCTTCCATGTGAATGTGAAGGCTCCAGAGCGTCTCCTTATTCCCTGTCCCCACCTGAGAAGCCTCTGGGGTAGCTGCTCACCCTGAGTGCAGTCAGCAAACGCCCCAGGGCTCCTGGGTGCCATTTAGATGTGCAGTATTGCTGTTATTTCAGTTATTTTCAGCCAGTTGCTCAGCTGTCAGACTGGATTCTGGAGATGCAGAACTTGGGTGACACGTACACAGAGCATCTTCTGCCAAGTCAGCCAGACGAGCATCTTGATTCAAAAGGAGCTTCTCTTTGTTACCACATACTGTATGTAGCTTCTTTAAAGGAACAGTTTTGCCACGGGGGGGAAAAAACTGCAAGATTCTTATTCTGGAGCAGGTTTTTGCAGAGCTCAGGGGCTGTCTGGGAGGTTGGTATTTGCTCAGCTTGTGCTCCGTGTGCCAACGGGTTCAGCTCGTCAGAGCAAACGTGCAGGAGCCCGATCTTCCCAGCAACAGATGGATCATTCCTCTCCTTGTGGCTCCCAGTTCTGCCATGGAGAGCTGATGGAGGAGCTTGCATGGGCCCAGAGCGTTCCTGAGGAATGATGTGACATCATGTTGAAAACAACCTCCCCACATCTTCCCCTTTATTTTCACGTGGACTCTCCTTTCTGTTGTAAGCTCTGACTCTTTCTTGACTTTTGTCTGGACTATGTAGCCAGAAAACTCCTCAAATAACTGATGGGGTTATTTACACTGTGCCCTCTGGCTGTATCCTCACAGAAGGGCCCAGAGCTGTCAGGATTCCCTGCTCCTTTCCTGGCTGCAGGATGGGGGTAAGCAGATGGTCCTTCTTGGGACGGGCACACAGCAGCTTGGCGCCAGCATTTTATGGCACAGTCATCGTAAATAACTGATATATTTGCTTTCTCTATTTAGAGAAAAGTATTGTTCTATCCCAGTAACAACTGGGAAAACAAATGCCACCATTTATCAGGCGAGTGCTGACAATAATAGAGGTCAAGTGGATTTATAGTGCCAGAACCCATTATGTGTTTGAAGACTAATTAAAGCCTTAAATGAGATGCTTGTCCTACAGGAGGCTGATTTTTTTTTTTCCTTATTTCTTTGCTTGCTGCTGTGCTTGATTCCCCCCTCCCCCTTTCCTCTTTAAGAGCTTTGCTGTAATAATGGAGCAGGAGCTTGACAGAGCTCCCCTGATTAGATGTCAGCAGCGTATGATTTGAGGTGCTCCGCGAGCGCTGGGATCACTGGACCGTATCTCCACTGTCACTCCTGAGCTTGGGAGGGTTTCCAGACCAGTATTCCACCCCAAACAACTGGCTAGCTGGTCTGATTTGATTATATTGAACAATATTTAGAGTTGTCTGCCAGAATCAAGGTTTGGGTCTGTACAAACCGGGGGAGGCACCATCCAGGGCTGGAAGAACTCACCCCAAAGACAAGTCAGTATCTTGGTTAATACAGATACAGAGAGAAATGACCTTTTCATGAAAATACAGCAGGAGCTTATGGCAGATTTGTGGTCTTTGGGGGGTGCAAAGCCTGTGCTCTGTGGGGTAACCACTGAGCTGTGTGTGCAGCTCACCCGGGAGCACGGGAGGCAGTGGGGGGCTGATTTGGCTGTACAACCTTTCCCTGTTGGTCTCCTGTGGGGTCCTCTGTCAGGTCTAATTGTGCTTCCTGTGGTGCAGCCACCCCGAGGGGTACAGCGTGTTCCTGGCCTGCAAATAGAACTGTCGCTCGATCCGCGGCGGGGGGGCCTCGCTTCCCCTCCATCCAGGAGGGAGTAGGCAGCTCTCAGAGCTGCTGGAGATGGGGGAGAGCCTTGGAGTTATCAAAGCACATGTCAACTTGATGAGAGCTCCTGGCAGGGCTCCCTGAGTCGCTGCTACACATGTTCTGCTCGATCTTGTCAGCTGAAATCCCGTTGGATATGGAGCCTGTCCATGGAGGAGCAAAACTCTGCCTGCACTGTGTGCCCAGCTTTGTCCTACCGCACGTTCCCATGGGATGATCCCATCACCGACCTCTGATAAAACTTCCTTGTGTTTTCTGTGGCTGCATCTCACTTTGTAGTGAGGTACTGCTGGAGACTTTTTGCCATGTGAGCATCCAGGAGTTGGACTTGATCCCTGTGGACTCCTCCAGCTCAGGATATTGATATTGTGATTTCTTCTCTAATTGCACCCTGAAAACCGAGGACTTGCCTGTCCTGGTACAGGAATAGAGCTCTTCCTTCTGGAGACCATAGTGATCCTGCCCTCCCAGACAGTGTGGAGCTGGTGACAGATTCCAAGGATAGGAGAAAAATGGGTGGAAGGTTCTGTGCCTGCTGTGTGTACCATGGCAGTGTTCTGGTTTAGCCTCTCCCTCAGGCACACAGGGTCCATGTAGCTCTACCCTGAGGAGCTTAGGAAGCCCAAGGAGATCAGGGAGGGTTCACTCCCAAACCAGGTCATCACAGGTAGCACAAGGATGTGCAGAGGGGCCATCCCCATCTCTGCAGGTGGGGAAGAAAGATGGAGCTAGGTTGATATCTGACCTGGACATGTTGGGTTAATGTCCCAAAGATAGGAGAACAGATAGCATTTGTGAGATGGGAGGATGTGAGGGAAGCCAGGATGTCTCCTGCACGCAGGCAAGCACACGAGCATCACCCTCTGCTCTGTTGCAGTGAACTTCCCCCTCCCTGGAGTCTGTTGCTCCCTTTGAAGGAGGGAGGTGGCTCCTTCATCAGGTTTTTAAATACAAGAACGTGAAAACCGTTAAACTCACCTCAGGAAACAAACTGCAAAAGCAGAAAGTTAAAAAAAAAAAAAACCCCTTGGTTCCTGGTGATGCTGAGATCATGGGTGGGGGAGGAAGAGATTTTGAAAAAAAATATTTAAAAAAGGAACAACACCCCTGAGCGGTGAAAGGAACAACATCCAAGGAGCTGCAGGAAAACAGGGCATGAATGCAGCCAGTCAGGAGTGTTGCTCAGCTGATGTTCACAAGAAGGTTTCAGCTTGCTCTGTTAGAGACCTCAGCAAACCTTCGAGACAGAGAGAGCATTTAGAAATGCCCCTGAGGTTTTCCGTTACTCTGCAGCAGCCTTGGTAAACATGCCAATAAATGCTGGAGAGACAGGAAAAAACCTTCCAGAGGAACAGACCCGAGTTTTCAGCTGCTCAGTCCTTCGCATCCACGGCTGCTGGTGATCGGCACTGGGGAGAAAGAGGCAGAGTTCAGCTTCTGCTGAATATTGAGTGGTGCTGCAGGTATTGCTGGGAAAAACAGCTTGGAGGAGGCTGAAAGTTACTCCTGGAGCCATCTGAGGGAATGTCCTGGTTGGAGACAGAAAGTTAATGGGACTCCTGTCGTGGGGCGCTTGTGAGTATGGAAACCTCTCTGCTCTCCTGTGTGGAGTAAAGGGGAGAAACTACCTGTGTTGATCCAATTTCTGGTGGCCCTGAGGGACAGGTACCCTCTTATTCCCTCCTGCTGCTTGTTTTAATGCTGCTCCTCAGCTCACGGTGAGGGGGGTGACGTTCAGCCCCGGCACTGGTTGTGTTTTCTCCTGGAAGAAACAACCAAGTTGGGTGGCTCTGGAGTTGTTTGTAACTCCAGACTTCTTCTTCTCTTGGCTCAACTGTGTGTAAACCCCACAGGGTAGAAGAGAGCCACCAGCATCCAAACAAGTGAAAAAGACAAGTTGTTCTGCTGGGGGAGTCTCAGCTGACTCTATTAAATTAACAATGGGGAGGGCAGGTCTCAGCTCGGAGATTAATGGCTGCTGGCCAGCAGTTCAGAGCTGTTGGAAAGGCACAAAAGCACCTGAGGACGGAGGTGTGTAATTAATGACTCTTTAGACAGCTGGAAATGATGTGTGTTTATCTAATGGGACACACTTTGCTGCTTTCTTGCTTTCCTGGAAGTGGCTGTTAAAAGCTGTGACGCACGTTCGCTCCCAGGGGGCTGGTCTGGCCTCCTGGGCGTCGCTCTGAGACCCAAACGTGCCTCTGATCAGGTGTTTGGGGATGACTTTCACTCCAGACCCACCTTGCTGCTCCACAGGTGAGGCTGTGGGTTGTTCTGAGAGCCATGAGCAGCAACAGCAGTGTCCAGAATGTCGTGGTGTGTAACTGGGAGCCACTGGGAACAACCCATCTCTGCCTTCCCCTCGCTGAGCTCCTGCCTGACCAGCATGGCAGCAGCCAGAAGCCCTTCACCCATTTGGCAGCTGCCCTGCTGCCTCACAGGGAGCTTTCTTCATGGAAAGGGTGCTCAGGCGTTGGAAGGGGCTGCCCAGGCAGGTGGTGGAGTCCCCATCCCTGGAGGTGTCCAAGGAACAACTGGACGTGGCACTCAGTGCTCTGGGCTGGGGGACAAGGTGGGGATCAGGCACAGGTTGAACTTGATCTTAGAGGGTTTTTCCAACCTAAACGTTCTGAGCTGCTGCCAGTTGAGCAACTGGCTTTGTACTGGGGAGGAGGGTGAAGTTTGATAGAAATGACACTGCTCATCATTCCGTGTGTTCCTCGCTCTCCTGTGTATTCACATCAATATCTGTTCTGCACCTCCTTGCCAGCCCTGATGTCAGTCCCCCTGAACTCAAAACCTGGCAATGAGTCACCTCAGAAAGAAGCTGGTGCTGATGTGCTTTTTGGAGCAGAGAGGCAGAAACACACAGAAATATTTTGCTGATTTTGAGTCTTCATGGCTGCAAGAAGAAATCAGGGTGGTGAGGGGCAGAGACATTAACTTCAGGTCACTTATAGCCAAGCTGTGATGTGTCTGCACGACCCTTGGTGAAGTCCCAGCTGGTCTTAGCTTGTTTCATATCTCATGAAGCTCATGAGCTTTCAAAAGCACTGATGTCCTTGGAGTTGGTGCAGTTTAGATACAGCTGTGGTGGCATCTGGAGCCCTGGCTCAGCTGGATGTGTGTTCCTGCAGGAATCCCTGCTGCCTGGGGGCTTTTGCCATTTAATCCCCACGTTCTGCTCACAGTCAATCTTGATTTATGAATTTCGTGCCTCTTCTCTGTTAAGTTTGTCCATGGAACAGCTCCATGGCACCCTGGGCTCAAACAGGGTCCGTGGGGGCTGCTCTGGCAGGCAGTGGTGCTCTTGGTGGTGGTGGGAAGCTGGGGAATGGTTGGGTTTGGTGAGTTTGCTGTTGCAGGAACCACACAAAGCTCCGTGGTTTCCGTTCTCAGGGCTCAGCATGGGAGTGGGTTTCCACTCACATGCATTCACTCCCTCTCCCCCAGGATTTCCCCTGAAGCCTGGAAGTTGTCATGGGACCTTGAACAGAGAGCTTTGGCTTCTGCTCTGCATGGTGTTGCTGGTGTGGGATGTCACGTGGGAATCAGCTAAACTGAGCCTTTGGAAAAGATCAGGGAAGGGGAGCAGGAGGGTGGAAAGGCAGGAGCTTTCCCAGGTGTGGTGGAGGCATCCCAGGGCCATTTTGTAAAGAAAGGGCAGCTGGAAGCAGATTGGAGGGAGTCTGTGGAGGCAAAGAGGTCTGGAAATCAGGAGTCAGAGCTGAACTGTGTTTCACCCACTCTGTTGTTGTTGGAATACTATGTTAAAATGAATTTCATGAAATCTCAAATAAATATGAATGCTGCCAAATTTTGATTTCTCTGTCAGGTTCAAGGCAAGGTTTTGCTCCCCTTAAAGTTGGGCCTATGATAGTTAGAAAATATTTGCTCCAATATTTGCTCCTTCACTTAATTTTCCAGCTGTTGCATCTGTAGAGAAAAACTCAAAGTTGGGTCCCAGAAACATTCTTTGAGTTAAAAACATGAAGATAAAGCAGCAAATCCGCAGATGTATTATTAAACTATATTTTTGTTATGATTTTTCTCAATGCCAGTCCCATGACTTTTGTGGTTTAGAGCAGGGTTTGTAACTCTTGAATTCCAGAGACCCCATTTGAGATCAGGGTCGTGGTGTGATCGGGGTACTGGGTCAGTGGTGAAGGCCTCACACAGCCCGAGCTTGTGCTGACTGTACTGGGATAGTGCTTTGAAAAAAGACCCAAAACAATAAAGAACCCCCCCCATACTTGAATCTCAAGGCCAGCACAGCTGCAACATCCCATCCCTTTGACTTTGCAGTGAACCAGAGCAGAGGATCTGCCGTGGTTTGAGTTTTCTGTGTGACGTTGGTGCCGTGGGTGAGTGACACCCCCCTGATGTGAGAGTGCATTGTTTTGCAGGAGCCAGGCCAAAGAGACTCCAAAGGAACAGCATGGACAGCTTAGACCTCCTCAAGTTCCCTTCTGAAAAGGTAAGCAAAGATGTGTGGCCTCAAAGATTAAGTGTCAGTAGGAATCTGTACACAGATTCCGACTGGTTTGTTGACTGGCTTCATTTGCAGGGAAATATGCAATTAGCAGATATCACTGGAGTCAATGGGATTAACCAAAGAGGGTTTCTAGAGAGCTTGGAGGAGAGGAACAGCTGGTCTAACTAAAAAGGCACTTAACACTCAAAGCTGAAAAGCCACTTCTGTGCCTTTTTGAAAAAGCAGCCCTTTATTGGAAGGATAATCGTGAGCAGTTTAGCCCCTGCGGGGGCTGGTGGCAGATCCTGGTACCTTGTCACCCCAGTGGAGTGACAGAGAGGGCAGATGCAGGAGCTGGAGCGTTGCAGGAGGGTTCTGTTCCAGGGGCTCCAAGGATTGCCTCTGCTCCACTTCGCTGCTGGGAATGTCAGATCCGAGCAGATCAGCGTTTTCTCAGTGTCCCCAGGGCAAGAGCTGTTTCTGCAGCCAGCTGGGAGGCACTGAGCCTTTCCAGCTACAGGGATCATTTAAGTCTCTCAGAAAATCCTGCTCAGGATGCTCTGTCTGCCCAGCAGCAGGCACTGGTGCTGCTGTGGGGCTCAGTCATGCCTGTTCCCAGAGGAGGTGGCCAGGCAGGCAGCCACGCTCTGCCTTTTTGGAATGTCTTTGGCACAAATAATTTACATTCATCCAGTGCTTTCCAGGCACAGCTCTCCTGAGCGTCCCAGAGGGAATTTCCCCTTTACAGAACTGTCACAGAGAGGAAAAGCTCATCCAAGCTGCAGGTGGGTGTAAATGGTCAATGGGAAACAACCTCAGGCTTGAGAAACCATTTGGGAGCCTGAACATCCCCGTAAGCGCTGGGAACGCCAGACAAAAGCTCCTCCCTGAACTGACTGTCTTTGGGAAATAAATTCCATGTGCCCTGATGTGTTTTTATCAATTCTCTCAGCTGCCCTTTGGCCATTTTGGCCCCTGCTCTCACCAGTGTGACTCCATCCCTGGGGTGTCGATGGCAGGGGACATTGGATCGTGTGTCCTCATCGAGCAGCACAGCCCAGAGGGCTGCCTGGGGGGCTTTGCTGGTGTGTGACTTGCTGCTGATGCTGTTAATGCTGTTGGTTTCCCACTCTTTGCTGTGAAAGCTGAACGTCATTCAATAGCTCAGGCAGGGTTATGGATTTCAGGGGTTTCATGGGGAGGATGGAGTAAGCAGGAGCTGTGGAGTCAGACATGAGTACTCCTGTTCCCCCTGCAGTGGTCCTGTGGGGGGTGTGTGAGTTCACCTTTACTTGAGACTGTTTTGGATGCAGTTCCCCTTCCTCTCTACTGCTGTGCTCATGGGGAAAGGGGATTACAGCCATGGGAGAGGCTTGTTTGCTTTGAACTCGCTGTGGTGGGAGTGATAAGATTGTAAGGTACAAACCAGTGAACTGTGATCTCTGCAGCATCCCCTCAGTATTGTCTCAGCTTCTGCCCACCAGCTCTGCCAGAGGCAGCCTTCAAAGTCAGCAGGTCAGGAGCTCCTGTCCAGTGCCTCTGTACAGAGTCATGTGTTAGGGCAGTGTGTGTCTGCCAGGGAATACCCACCTTGGTTCTGAGGGCCCCAGCAGATTGCAGGAATCCTCCTTTCTGCTCATCCTGCTTTTTCCATCCTGTGCCCTTTTCCTTGGTTTGAGCTTCTCTGGCTTTAGTAGCTCCCAGCCTTTGGTTCTTGTTTATTCCTCTCTGTACCAGACTAAAATCTCTTTATCACCTGCTGGGTTTCACCCTGAAGGTGCTTACGTGCCATAATTGAGTCATCTCTTCTGGCTGTCATGCACCAAGCAGTCTGAGGGCTCCAACTAAAGCATTGTGAGGCAGTTTCTAGTTCTGAAATATATTCTTGTGGCTGCTTTTCAAGCTGTGGACACTGGCCTGACTGCACTGTCCCATTAATAGCATCCAGGGAAATGAATTTCTCCTTACTTGTTCTCACTATTCCCGTCTGGAGTCTCTGCCACCTCCATTTCCCCACACATTACCTGGGGTGATAATCCTGTATTTATGTCTGTGGGAGCACTGAGCACAAGCATTTAAGGGAGCAGAGAGGGCAGGAGTGAGACTGCTCATGGCCCTTCTGCTGTACTTACATTACCCTGCTGTCCCCTCATCCTTCTGGTGGTGTGAGGGTTGGCAAAGAGCTGGATGAGACTCCAACCATCCGTGTTCATCTGCCTTTTAGGGCCCTTACCCAGTGGTTTCTTCCTTGCTGTAGACAGTGGGAGACTGAGGCAGGCAATGCTCTGTCTGTGCTGGGAGCCAAATCCTAGAGGTGGAAAATGCTGTGGAGCATCCTTCCCTGGGGCCTGGTCAGGTTATCCATGGCTCAGCATGGGCTGCTGCAGGGCTGGGCACTGGGAACGAGTGGAGATACAACCAGTGGAGGGACTTGTGCCAAGAGTTTGGTATCCTGGGCAGGATGAGCTTGCCACTCTGTTTAAAGGAGGTTTTTAGGAGTGCAGTTGGCAGGAGTCACTCTTCTGTTTCTGCACCTGTCATCCATCATTCCCTGTGCCCATAAATAAACCAGCCCTGCTCCTACCTGCATACCTGGGGGTTTTAAGAGGATGCTGCCTCTCCTTGTGGAGGAGTTGACTCCTGTGTGTTGTTTGGGTGATGCTTCCTCTCCACTCATTAAAATCACGCACTGCAGGGACAGACCAAGTGTCCTGGTTCAGCCCTGCAGGTGGTGAGTGGCACTCCCACCCTCCAAACTCCACAGTCACTTCGTGCTCCCGTGTCTCCTCTTCTATTGGATACATGCCAGCAGATCTCCATGTAAACCTGAGACAGACAAGTGGTGCAATGGCTGTTTCTTGCTTTCCCAAGGACCAGAATGGGGACAGCCACCATGTGGGAGAGCTGAAGATCTCGGGGAAAGAGTTCCTGTCGTTACCTGCGAGGACGAGGAAATACCGGGAACACCAATCCAGTTTGGAGAGGAAGTCCCAGGGACCGAGTGCATCACCCTTGGATGCTGGGGAAGTCCGAGTCCAGGTGTCACAGTCGGTAGGAAGATGATTTTTATACATTTTTTTATTATTTATTTGGGAGTTTCTTAGAGAGAATGTTCTTCATTTCTGACATGGTGCAGGGGTGGCCTTTTGGCTGGGAAACAGAGCCCGTGTGTAGCTCTGCTGTTGGCAATTTGGGAAACTTGGGCAAATCATTTTGCCTCTTTGAGCCTCAGAATTACTGACCATTTAACAGAGCAGTGGCACCAACCTCCATCACAAACTGGTTTACGAGAGACTGGTGTTCAGCTGTGATATTTGGAACCTTCTCTCGAGGGACAGGAGTTTGGACTTTGAGCTTTCCTGGGACTGTCAGGATGTGATGCCTCGAATTCCAGGAAAACACAACAGTTTGGACCCCTTGCTTTGTTGAGCTTGATTCATCAGCCTCCTGGGGCTCGTGGGGAGTGGGCTTGTTGCCTTCAAGACACAGAGCCCTTCTCAGGTCTTTGATGAGCAGCCAAAAGTGCCGGTTGCCTTTGCCAAATGTGGGACCGTAGGTGTTGTTCCCCCTCATCTCCTGCTCACATCAGTGGTCAGTGTGCAGAGTGGTCTGCTAGAACTGATCAGTCATTAGGCAGAGATTATAGAAATCATTGTCCAGGAGCTTCTCTTTGGAAGCAGTGTAGGAGGAGCACATTTCCTCAGGGGCAGGAGCTGCCCCAGTGTCAGGGATTTGCAGGTCACTGACCTGTTGGGGAGCTCTGATTCAATCTGTGCTTGTCTCCCCAGATGAGGATGGGGATCCATGTCCTGAAAAGCTCTCCAGGTGCCTTTTTGATGTCTTCAGCCTGACAACTGAGCTGTTTGTGGGCCGTTACCTTCCGGTTGTATTGATGTTTGTTGTGACACAGAACAAACACAAATACTGGGGAGGTTTCCTGCAGCTGTGTTGGTTTTGTTCTGGGTCCTGGAGACAGAGATCACACCCACAACCATGACATGCTTCTGAGTCGTGGGAGGGGGCTTGGAGATATCTGAACTCTGTGATCTCAAGTGAGGAGCCCCAAGTCCTCAGCTTGTTGCCAGGAGATACGGAGAGTAACAGGGAAGATCAATGATCTCATGGTGCTTGGAAGTATTTAGGCTTTTGCTTTATACTGAGTCTGTAACACACTATCACAGCCCTGATTATGCAGTCATTCCAGATGGAATAAATCCAAACCAGGAAAGATAGGCCTATTTTTTTCTTGGCATTTAAGAAAAGTGAAATTAAATATTTTCATGCTGGGTCTGAGCTGCAGAGCTTGGGATGAAGCCTGGCTGTGGAGTGGGGATGCTTGAAAGTGTTTCTAGCTCTGAGTCCTTTGTTCCTGGTCTGTGGATGGTGGGGAGAACATATCCTGCTCTACCTGTGTGCATGGGTGTGTGTACACATCCCTTTTTACCACAGACATTCCTGATTTTCAGTTTTTTGGCCACTGGAGACAGGATCTTTACACTAACTGGGGTTTTTTTTTAGACTTCCGTGAGCTCATTCTTCATTCCCAACAGCGCTCGTGGAAATGGTCTGATAGGAAAAGCATTTCCTACTGCTCACCGGTGCAAACATGATCATTGAGAAGGAAAACAAAGCTCATCTGAGCCAGAAAGGAGACAGCAGCATGGGGGCACACAAGGCAATACAAAGGCAGAAAAAAAAACCCACTTCTGCCAGAAATAGCCTTGTATTTTTAACTCAGACATTGAGCCAGAGACCAAACAAAAGCCACACTCCATCAAGAGCCAGGGAAAAGCTTTCCTTAGGAGTGTAGCTGTGGATCCTTAGGCTGTGTCTAAAAGTGGCCCTGTGGGACCTTGCCAACCACTGGTGACCTCTTGGCAGTGCCTGTGGGGTTTGGTGAGTGGCAGTGACAGGGCGTCTCTGTGGGACCTTCTGAGGGAGACAGCGGGGTCACTGCAGGGGAATTTTGTTGTGTGGGGTGTTCCCAGCCTGGCTCTGTCATGTTTAAAGTCAGTGTTGTCTTGCCAAAAGCAAAGCAACCCATTGCCTTGTGTCCTGCTGTTGTCCCCTCTGTGGAGGGGTGCTGGTTCTGGGTGGGTTTTTTGAAAAGCTGCAGTTCCCATCCGTGGGAACTTTTAATAAATCAAACATAGCAGACCCCTCCCAGATGGGAGAGAAGCTTTTCCAGGTTGGGGAGTTCAGACAAGAATCCCCCCGATTCCTCACTTTGTGAATGCTCAGAGCAAAAATTCTCTTTAATCCATCAGTAAAGAGCAAGTCCTTAATTCAAGGTGAGCTCTGATGGTTGATCTAAGGTGCTTTCATGGGGTGCCACAATCCCTGCTGTCCCACCAGCTCAGGCTGCACATGTGGTCCTGTGTGCTGCTCTCCCACAGTCCATCTGCAGAGGGGAACCCAGGCTGTGTGCAGGGATTCCCAGGAAAAAAACCTCATCCCAGGACTCCCAGGTGGAGTGATGCAATCTCTGGATAAGTCCTGCTGTCAGCACAGCCACTGACCTCCTTCCCAAGGGGCTTGTGCAGCAGGCAGGTCCCGGGATGGGGAGTTCCTGGGAGAGCAGTGCCTGAGTCAGAGATCCTGGATTTGCCACCCATCTGCTGCCTCGTGTTTCCCTCCCCTTCCCCTCCCTGTGCTGGGGTAGCAGCTCCGTGTGCTGCCTCCCTGCCAGCCCCGGGGAGGCTACAGGGGCGTGATGGTGGCTGCCAAGTTGTTTGAGCTTTGGATGGCAGGAGCTGTGGTGGTTGTTATTAGCATTGGTGATGATGCTGCTAATTACTGAGCTGCTGGGAAACTCCCCGTGGGAGGGGGCGGGACAGGGGAGGGCAGGCAGGGAAAAGTGCAGGGAGGTGAAGTGAGCCGAGGGATGGAGAGGAGCCTGTCCCTCCTGGCAGCTCTGTCGGGCCCCGAGAGAGGGGCTCAGCCTGCTGGCAAAGCCGTGGGGATGCTGGGATGGATAGGAGAAGCCATGGCCCAGGTGCTGCGTAAGGTAGGAGAGCGTGGCAGGTCCCTCCCTGTGCCCCAGACCTTCTGCCACTGCTGTGCTGGTGCTGCACGTGGTGCTCACACAGGAGGGTCCTGCGGCTGGTGGGGCAGAGAGGGGCTTCCCTACCCCTCCCATGGCCCCATGAAGTGGGGGGATTTTCCCCACTGGGAAGGACCAGCACTGCCTGGGTCTGGGGACGGGCACGGGCAGGGTCCTGTGGTCAGGTGTGGAGCTCCCACGGGAACACTCAGGGCTGTGAGTGCCTGGTTCTCCACAGTGGTGGGTTTGGTCTGGGAGAAGCTGGTGAGGGTGAGACATGTTTGGTCACATTTTTGCTCTGTTGCAGCAGAGCCCTGAGCAGAAGGAGCTGCCTTAGAGCTCGGTCCCTGTGTCTGCAGTTGTGGACAGACAGATCCAAGTCCCTCTGAATCCCTCCCTGGGACTCGTGCAGTGCACACCTTCTGAGTTTCCTCTTTAAAAATGAACATCAAAGCAGAGGTTTTGTACTACACGAAGCTTGCAGACATCAAAGGCTCACTCATGAATTTAACCCCCCTGCTCCGCTGTGGAGAAGGTCATAATGCTCCTGCTTGGTAAGAGATGTGTTTTAGGGGGTTATTAGAAGGTAACTAGGAGGTTACTAGAAGGATGGGAGTTTTCTAACACTTCAAAAATATCAGAGATTGTGTCCCTCACCCTCCTCTCTGAGAGAGCAACTGCTATGGAAGAAGGAGAGGATCCACAGAAGAAAGGGGCTGTGTATTCCATAAAAGACTGCCCGGAGACGGGCTGGGGACCTGCCTCAGTTCTGAGCCTGGTGTTTAAGGTCAGCACTGAACTAAAGTCTTTGAGGTCTTGGGGCTGTGCACGTGCCAGAGCTGCACTTTAGTGGGTCAAGGTCCAACAGCTGGAGCAAAAACCATGGAGAGAGGTGAGGATCAAACCCACTCCTCCCCCCTCCTTGGGAATCTGTGCTCTAGAAATGGTCCAGTTCCTCTGGACTCTCCCCTTCTCAGGAGTGCACCAACTCGAGGGAACTTTCCAAACCTGTCCCCCACCCTGTCCTCAGCAGAGACCATTTATAGTCAAGAGAAAGAGGAGCTGTGTTTGATTGCAGTGACGACTTGCAGAGATGGATTGCTGATGTATTTAGACACTGAACAATTTTGAAGCTGCATCACCAGACATTCCCTAGGACTAATGTTTTTATAAGGCCTTTTCTATGATTACAGTGAGAAGCAACCATAAAAGAAGGGAAAGTTTTGTAGATCATACGTCCCCACCCCAAAGGCAGGTTGCCAGAGCTCTTTTGATGGTTTTCTGTCTCGTGATTTACTGGGGGATTGTTGGGTTGCAGGATGCTCATGGTTGACCCTCTGCCTGGCCTGTCCCTGCTGAACCACGTGTTCAGGCAGTGCTCAGGTGTCAGGTGTCCCCATCCATCCCCTGTGACTTCCCTGGGCACTGTGGAATGGGCTGGATGGATGCTGGGGTGGAAGGATGCATCAGCCTCGGGGGGCTTCTGGCCCCAGAGCATCATTTCTCTGGTTGTCTTGTTTGAGAGGTTAAACTGTTGCTTCCTCAAGTCCCTCAGGAGATGGGACATGGGGTTTGTACCAGGCAGCCTTTGCTGCTCTGTGGTGTTTGTGCATCTTCCCTCTCTTTTAACATCAGGTTGGTCGCTGCTTCATCTCACTGATGTGTGAACTCCCTCAACTCGAGGGCAGTGCAAAGCACACCCTCCTTTGTCCCACAGCCTTGATGTTTGTTTAACTGCAGGGGTATAATTATGCCATTAGTGTTGGTCAGACTTTCTGGTGTAAACGTGCTCCCAGAGCAAGGGGAGTGGAGAGGAAGGGAGAAAGCAGAGCCAGGGAGAGAGGGAAAGCAGCTGCTGCTAAATTTAAGCCTGTTCCTATGACACCTGGAGGCTGCTGTGGTGGTGTCAGTCCTGTTGGAAGTGAGCAGGTAAACACTGAGCTTGTTCTTGGCGTGTTTTATCTTCCTGTTCAGCTTGTGGGACCTTCCAAGGTGCTCCAGGCAGATG